AAGAGTTCTGAAAGAGGTGAGACATGACAGAAATCAGGGTTACGTCCTGCCAAGGCTCTGCCACCATAGATTAGAGGAGACATCCTGCCAAAAGTATCCAGAGATATCCAAAACCCTACAACCTCTGCGAGGCACTTTCTGGAAGCAAACTCCAAGTGCACTGCTTGCTTTAGACTCCAACGACATGCATATAGAAATAACTGTTATGTATGGAAAAGGGTGTTATTGCCACAGTCTATTCAATTTCTAGTTCTTGGAGACAAGACCAGGAGGATAAACAGAGCAGCTTCTAAGTGAGAGGTCAAATAAGTACTTTCATAAGCCAAGAAGGTACTGGCTCCTTCTTTCACTAGACTTGTTCTCAGTTAATAAACATAATTGATCATCTCTCATGTCTAAGGCATAGTTCCAGTAGTGACCACGACTGGTATGGTCTCTAAAGTAATGGAATTTCTCCTGGTTGGAGAAACAGACATCAAACAACTAATTATACCCTTAATTTATTTTATTTTATTAAAATTATGATAGACGTAAAAGAAAAGTCTAGGATGATATGAAAACATGTAACAGAGGTACCTGGCTTATGTTTTTGAGGATAAGAAAGTGATGTTTGAGCTGAGTTCTGAAGGATGAGTGAGAAGGGAGTGGTGTAGGAAGAAGCAGCATTCTGTGAAAATGTCAGTGCTTCCTGGAGGCAGATATGCTTTTTCATGTAAGATAAAATGCATAAATGCAGGAGTCTGAGAAGAATTGACTCAACATTAACCTCCAAGTTACCTATTGGAAGAAGAATGACGAAGGATACGTTGAAAGACGATTTCAAGCAAACTCTTCCTTTTAATTTTATTTCCGTATTAATTTTTTTATGAGAACATGTTCATATTTTGCTTGTTTTAAAAATAAAAAGAAGTGGTATATGCTCCCGTTCCTCTTTGAGGGTAAGATACCATGATAGTCCAGGCCACGGAGTGGAAGGTTCAGATGAAAATTTTCCTGTTACCCAGTTTTAGATGCCATTAATCGTTAGTAAAAGCCATCAAGTATTTCATGCCCATTTTATCTTCAATATATTTTTACTTAATTCTTTAATTAATTAATTAATTAATATTTTTTTTTCTCAGACATGGAAATGTATTCTCTCTCTAATCACAGGTCCTGCTCAGTACAAATAGACAACTTCTTGGCCATCCCACTTTTCTTCCATGCACTCTTCATTGCTGCCTCTGGAAAGCTTTATTGAGGGTTAAACACATGAAGTTGAGTTGAATGAAACTTGCATCATACTGAATTACCTGATCCCTTTCCCCCCCATTTCTAAGCATACGAGTCACATTCATAAGATGTCATAAGCATGCTGCTATATTCATAACACATATCTCATATAGGGGTCTCTGAGATGCCACATCTATACACTTCAAGCCTGACATCTATTCCCCACTCCATTCCAATCTTTATTTTACTATCTCCTTGCTCGGTTTTGTCATCACACTTCACCTTGTCATTAATCCCTTGCTATTCTCAAATCTTTGTGATAAGGAGGCTGACTTGCCTCCTAATTTCATATTGCTACCTTGAGGCATCTATTAACAAGGATTTAATAGATTTTAAAGCTCTTGATCCCATACAACTCTGATTTGGCGCTCAGAGTAGCCCCGATAGCTTATTTCTCTACCACAAACTTATGATTTCTTGCATATTTTTTTCAGCTGTATAAAGAATGTGACTAGGAACCAGAAGACCCAGCCACTAGTCTTGGGTTCTCCCTTTGGTTGAATGTAACTTCAGGAGACATCACTATGTCCTCTGAGTCACCACTGTCTCCTATAAATGGCTGACCAGGCATGTCAGTCTTTCTACATCACAGTGTTGTAGTAAACCTCATCCTTAGCCATTCTTTTCCCCATTCTCTCTCTCTTTTTTTGTTTTTTGACAGAGTCTCACTCTGTCACGCAGGCTGCAGTGCCATGGCACAATCTCAGCTCACTGCAACCTCCACCTCCTGGGTTCAAGTGATTCTTGTGTCTCAGCCTCCCAAGTAGCTGCGACTACAGGCGTGCTATTAAATTAGCAATGCCTGGCTAATTTTTGTATTTTTAGTAGAGATGGGGTTTCACCATGTTGGCCAGGCTGGTCCCAAACTCCTGACCTCAGGTGATCTGCCTGCCTCAGCCTCCCAAAATGTTGGGATTACTCATAGTTTTGGTTTTAAGATTACCCATTAAAACCTTCCCTGACCTCTCAAAGAGGACCCCAATTTATATATCCTCATTGCATCTTGTATTACTTATTTCAAAACCCACGTCACTCTTGTGACTGCTAGCTCGATGCTGCCTTTTTTTCCTTTCACCCTCGAGCACACTGTAAGCTCTATGAGTGTGGAACCTGTGCTTGTTTCTGTCCGGACTATCTCAGTGTCTAGCACATAGTTGGTAACTCAGTAAATATCAGTTGATGGATTAAAAAATAATGTCAATAAAAGTGCTTTTTAGGTAAGAAGCTAGTACTATAATCATTGTCATTGTTAATACTATTAGTAGTGATAGTAGGAGTAAAGGTAGTTGTAGTTTTATATTAGCAGCATTGCCAACATCAAATATAGGCCAGAAGGAGGACCACAAAATAATACTTATCAATATTCATTGCAAGCTTCTCCACTTACTGCCCTCCATTTTTTTTTTAAACTGACAGAAATAAATAACTAACAATAAACAAAGTGAAAAGGCAGTCTATGGAACAGGGGAACATTGGAACACCATATTTCTGAAAAGGAGATAATATCCAAAAGATACAAGGAACTCATACAACTCAATACCAAAAAACTCCCAAACTAAAAAACAAAAACAAACACAAAAAGCAAATAATCTGATTAGAAATGAGCCAATTCTGAGTAGACATTTTTCCAAAGAAGACACATGAATGGCCAATAGGTATATGAAAAAGTGCATACTATCCCTAATTATCAGGGAAATGCAAATTTAAGCCACAATGAGATAATCACCTCATATCTGTTACAATGGTCACCATCAAAAAGACAAAAGATAACTATTTGGCAAAGGCATAAAGAAAAGATAACCCTTTTACACTGTTGGTGGGGATTTAAATTGGCAGAGTCATTCTGGAAAACAGTGTGGAGGTTTCTCAAAACATTAAAAATAGAACTACCATATGATCCAGCAATCCCACTTCTGGATATATGCCCAAAGGAAATGAAATCTGTATCTCAAAGAGACATCTGCAGCCCCATGTTTACTGCAGCACTATTCACAATGGTCAAGACAAGGAACAACCTAAGTGTATACTGATGTATGAATGGATAAAAAAAATGTGGCATAGACATACAGTGAAATATTACTCAGCCATAATAAAGAAAAAAATCCTGCCATTGACAACTATATGGATAAGCCTGGAAGACATTATGCTAAGTGAAATGAACTAGACACAGAAAGACAAATACTGCAGAATCTTATTTACATATGGAATCTCAAAAAGTCAAATTCATTGAAGCAGAGAGTAGAATGGTGGTTACCAGGGGCTGGGGGCAGGGAGTAGAAATGGGGAGATATTAGTTATCAGTCAAAAGATGGCCAAGTTCTCACGATCTAATAAACAAAGTGATTCATTAATGGTTAATAATACTGTGCTGTGTACATGAGATTTGCTAGGAGATTAGCTCTTGTGTTACCCCCCACCCCACATACACAGAGGTAACTATTGAACATATGCGGCAATGGATGTGTTAATTAGCTTGATTGCAACAATCATTTTACACTGTGTACATATATCAAATTATCACATTGTATACCTTAAGTATTTACAATTTTATTTGTTAATCACACCTCAATACATATAAAAACAAAAAGAAATCAATAACTCCACGGTAAAATGGGCATACAAACAAAGCCCACAGTAATGGCTCAGAGCACAATTTTATTTTTCAGGTACCAATCCTCGAGTGGCATGATAAGTCCCTATCTGGAGAAAGACCCAAAAGAAAGAAAAGAGATACGGTCTCATTCCATGGCAGATGTGAACACTTCTCCAAATTATGAGGGCGGGATGTAAAGAACTATGGAAACTGCCCCTTGTGAGATGAGAATTTTTCACTGAAAACCAAAAAGGATAAAGAAAATAAAATTCTCCAGGTGGAAGAATCAGTTCTTCAATCCTACGAGTGGGCTGCTTGGAGGGAAAATTAAACTAGTGAAAATATTATGGAAAGGTAGGGGTGCTGCTCTTGGTAAGGTGACATTATTTTGAATGAGTTACTGATATTTGGGGGGCAGGGAGGGGGAATAAAGCAAGAGATGTCAGTATGGCCCCCTGAAGAAGAGATAAAGGGTTTACTGGGCCTTATTGTTATTGCTGTTATCCATATTGTTGTCAACAGCAGCTTGGAGAAACTTGGAGAAGACGACGGTGATTCCAGAAAGTTCACGGGCAGAGACCTGAGGCTCTATCTTCTAATCACTGTGAGAATCTATCTTATGAGGACTCTCAGGTCCCACCTGCCATCTCACTGCCTCATGTTTGCTATTGGTGCACTTTGCTAAAGAAACACCTCTATATTATGCTCCTCTGAAAGCTTGCAAAAGCAGAAAAACAGAGAGACTATGTATCAACATATTTTTTCCCAGTTACTCAGTGAGGTATTAAATTGAATGAATTTGCCCACCGCCAAATAACTCAGGTCTTTGGTAAAGATTATTTTTATAAGATTTCACATGTCAACAAAATTCTTCATTTATTCAATACCACTGAAATCCTCTTACATGCGTGCAGCCATCAGAAACTTATCAAATCCCTACTGTGTATCTTAAAAAAAAAAAAAAAAAAAAAAAAAGCTAGGTTCTGGGAATACAGGATGGAGTGAAGTACCATCTCTAACTTCAGGATCATAAATCTGGACAATTCTAGAGCTTAAAGAGCTGTGGGTTTTCATTGATGAAATACAATTCAAAGAGCTTTGCTGGGCGATTTTTAAAAATGGCATTGTACTGCACCTGGAGGCAGGCTGGGGCGCGTCCCTGGGGCTTGTTGACATCCACAGCTACCAGCTGCCAACCTCCAGCAGCATCTTCATGAAACATCTTCAAGACAAAGAAGGGAGGTGAGTCAGAGACATTTAATACGGAACATTGAGAACTCTACGTCTCCAGCTTTGTATATTTTTATGTCATCAAAAATGTGTCTTCTTATGGATTTATATTTGGAATGAAGTCATTTCAATTGTATTTCTTTAACACTGAACGCTTAAGTAAATCAAAAAAGAACAATGTTAATAACTTGAGCTTATTGACTACTTGCTATGTCAGGCACTTTCTGTCTTGCATATGCTTTGCATATAATTGCTCAAATATTCTTCTCCGCAAGAGAAATACTTTAGTATTTTATCCCCATTATATTGATAAATATCTACTAGATCTGGGAGAAAATGAAAATTAGAATTAAAAAGCATTGTGTCTGGTGTGTTTTTACTATAGGTAGCAAATTTTATTTTTATTTAGTGGACAGTTCTCACCGACCTAATAAAAATATTCTCAGGATCAATAAAATAAGAAGTGTGCATGTGGCACAGGGAAAGAACTGGTGTTATTTTAATGGTAGAAGACTGCCACGTTGCTTAATATACTTTGTGTAATTATTTTAACTAGGAAGCAATTAATCTGCTCAATGGTAATTTTATGTACGTATTATGAAGGGAACAAGTAGTTTCTTTTGGATGAAAGACCTAAGTGATGAAATTCAAGATGCTACAGGTCCATGAAATCTGAAATCTGTTGAATTAGATATCTAGGTTATTATCTCCTAGCTATCATCACATATTACTTATGTGTCAATATTACACCCAGCTGGAAGACATTTCCCACTTTCACGTATTTTCCCACTAATATTTTTCTTTCTAGTTCTCAGGAGCAAGTGTGTGTGTATGTGCATACAGTAGGAATAGGGCAAAATTAAACATTTTTGTTTTTCTATATAAAGATACTAATTACAAGCACTCACTGTTTTATTCCTGCCTGAGGTCACTGTTTTACAGAAATAAATATTTCCTTTGTCATCCTTATTTATGTCCTCCTGATAGTCTGATGCTGTATTTGAAGGGGTAACTGCTAATGGAAATATGAATGAGATGATGCAAAGATCCCACTACCTAGGATTTGTAATGATAGTTTCAAATCCCTGGTAGTAGTGGTGGTAGATCCTTTGTGCAAAATAAACTTGCCTTCTATAAAATGAGTGAGGTGGTGAGAGACTGTTGCCCTATATGTATATTTATTATTTATTTTTTATATACAGGCCCTATATGTATATTTATTATTTATTTTTTAATTTTTTTTTGGAGATAGAGTCCTGCTCTGTTGCCCAGGCTGGAGTGTAGAGGCATGATCTCCACTCACTACAACCTCCGCCTCCCAGGTTCAAGCAATTTTCCTGTCTCAGCCTCCTGAGTAGCTGGGACTACAGGCACCTGCCA